ACTGTGCAAAATCTATATTTCTTGCTAATTATAATAATTACAAATTCCAATTTTCCAAAAGTAATATAATATTACTATTGATAAATTATTCTTTAAATAAAAATTATAGTACAAAATAACAAGAAATTTTAATAATTTATTAGTTTGATAAAACATTTATACATTTGCAAGTAAATTACAATTTTATGATGTACATAATGGGAATATAGAACTTCTGAATTCGTATTATGGGGTACTCGATGAGAAAAATATGACAAGATATGTATGTACTGACTTCAGTAGAATTACGAAAAAATATTTAAGTGAGGTTATCATTTATTTATGAACAGTTAACTGTTCTCATATTATGTCAACTATCCTTGTATTAACCTCATGTCCTATTTCTTTCACAACTGCATTTAATAGAACCACTTTCTCGTTAATAATTTAGTAGAAAAAGAAGAGAATTTGATGCTTATTTTGTGTCTACGTTTACTCTAAAGGTTAAGGATTGATAGGAGATAAATTTGATTTATATGAAAAATAAGTAAAGAACATTTAGGTTTGTCGAATTCGGCTGAAAATTTTGATCATGAGTCTGACTTGATATTATAGGAGAACGGCTTAAATTAATTATTATTCTTTATATCAATTTCTAAAGTTTTTAAAAGGTATTAAAGAGTTTTTATGTTAGAGGACTTCCCTAGCTTGATTTTACAAAACGTATTACTGCTTTTATGCCTGTTAATTTATAAGTATGTAGATAGGTACTTATATTCCCTCCTCAACTTTGTATTTTGACGACCTTTTTAGCATCCCGTTTATATTTTCGCTATTTCGTGATAACCCGGTAGGCCTTTAAGGAAGAGGAAAGCGATAAGCACCAGCCAAAGAGGATAAAGACAAAATAATCTTAACTACTCCCGAGTGTCTCGCAGAACCCTCTAATTCATGAAGTTACGAAGAGAGAATTGGGGGGAGATTGTTCGTTCCTCCAATGCAGGGAAGTAATGTTAAATAATGTTAGAGTTCTATTATCTATTTATAGCCCATGAACATAGGTGTACTGGATTCGTTTTTAAAACGCTATATAGCGCTATATCTATGAAAAATAGAACAAATGTTATATATGATTTCATATCAGCAGAGATCTGTAGTATCAACAAAGAAAAAAAGTCACTAATTAAAATTATATTCATATAAAAATTAGTAAAAGCTTCTTTAACGAATGTTATCTTTAGCGGTTCTTCGGATTTCTGAAGCTCCTCGTCAATTATTAGTACTTAATAATACAAAAATACTATCATAATGATTACGAACGTTTTTAACAACATATAGATTGAACAAATTATTAAGCAAGTTTGAATCAACCAATAAATTACAATTTCCCTCTTCTTTAAAAACTAATGAAAAAATTCCCTTTTGTTAAAAATATAAACTGATAGCCAATTACTAAACCTTAACATATTTGCTTTGATCTCTAACCTACTCATTGTAGCAAGAAACTAATTGATAAATTCCAATTTTTTAAAATTTACATAAATTTTGAAGGCCACTTTTTCTGTGATTATGATAAGGTATTTTTATATGATAGTTTTCAAATATTTTGCAAGTTTAAACTTATTTTGATTGTAAAAATATAAATTATGATTACCACCATATTATAAAATGATGGTGTTTATTTTGTTGGAAAAATTGTATATTATTTAGAATTTGATTAATAAACACACTCTATGATAAAATATATCTTACACGTTAAATTTTGAATGAATATTACATAAAGAGGTCTATAATGGCGATAGATAAAATTTTGGATCGTCGTGATTTTGGATCGAATAGTGTATCTATAAGCACGATGTTAATAAGATAGTATCGAAAATTTCCATGTAAAGATCTTAATCTTCACGATTAACCATACATGTACCTAGTGGTAGACCGTATATGCTAGTCTTGTTGAAGGCATTTTAAAAGCACATTCATTTTTATCAACGTGAATGTTATAATAATGGAAATTATATTAAATGCTAATTAGTAGAGATTCAGTTACGAAAATGAATTTTTTCTTTAAGAAAAACTGACATAACATCCCAATCAACCTAATATATATACATTTTTTTTAAGACAATAGTAAGCAATTAATACAATATACTTATCAACACATTCCGTATTATTGATACAATAACTTACGTGTTTTATTTATGCAAATTAATTTTTAGAACAAAGAATAAAAAATCTTATTTACAAAATTGCTTCACTTCCTTTATCCAATAATGAAAATATAAAACTCGTGCGAGTTTAAACAAAATTCATTCCGTAATATTTTATTAATTGCAAGCGTCCATGTTTGGGTAGGTTTAAAATACAGTGATCTATTTAATAATTAAAATTAAAAGCAGGGAAATTACTGGTTATAATAGTAAGTTCGATAATATTGCTTTACTTGCAAATGTAAAAATTGTTTTACCCACAAAGATTAAAATAAAATACTTCAAGATATTTAAAAGTTAAGAAAAATTGAATATTTTCATTGAGAAACATAATTAATGTATATATAATATTATAAATGAAATGTATATTATTTATATCTAACCATGTGTATAGATTATATTAACAAATTATTATTGTTAACATTAAAAAATTAATAATTCGTTTAAATATGTGTAACAATGTGTTTAAAATTGCAATATTTGTTGTTATTTTTTTTTAATTGCATTAAACGGTTTGAATCAAGGTCACATAATACGCACGGCATTGGACTATTCACTGTATCACCATTGTTAGAAGAAGGAAGATTATAACTATTTCATGACATGTATAGGTAATTTCAATCTAATAAGGAAACCCTACAGCTGATTTTCCGCTCAGATTTTGATGAAGATTTAGACTATTGAATTGTATTCTACAGCTTTTGTTCGTTATGCACATTATAAACAATTTTTGTCTAAATTTGCATTAGGCATATTGTTGGCAACAAATGCCAATGTCATATATGTTTAACATTTTTATTTTTCATGATTGTCTTAAAATATTGTGTTATAGATCAAAATACAATATTGTTTTCGTAATTTCGTGATTTCACAGCTTCCTTAAAATCTTATCTTTATCCCTGCCGCCTCGTGGCACAATCCGCTAAACTTCGAGAAAGATAACTACATAGTAATAAATGCCAATCAACAAAAGCGAAGACACAATAGCATCCACTATTTGCAACACCTTGCTGAATCTCGAAAGTTTTGTGAAATTACAAAAATAATAAATGCAGATTTCTAATTATTTTACAAGTGTAATGATAAGTTTAACCAACATATCAAACTGGATTTTAGTACAACAAATTACATATTAAATTAAAAATATTAAAGTTCATATTTCGTACTTTTCTTGGGGATAAGTTATTGGAGAATATGTATTTCAATTTTTCATTGATTTTATTAATACTGGAGCAGGTGTATCGAACTGCCTCTCCTTAAGCTGGTGACTTTCGATCAGCGTTCCCTTCATATTGTACCTTATTCAGAAAATGAATTCTGAAAGGAATACGAATCTAATTGGTCAGCTTTCATCTTTTCTCATTTCATTTTCAACTAATTTGTTATTTGTTCCGAGGATAGCACAGAGACAAGGAAGGTGTCTCGCGATGTGTTTTGTTTATAGTTTTGATTGGTCACATGTAACCATATTGACAAATAGTAAATTACTATTGAAAAGAGATGAGGAAAGATGAAAACTGACCACTGAGATCCGCATTCCTTTTAGAACTCTTCTCCTGAACAACACGGAGTATGTGAGTAAATCTATGAGTGTCAATAGGTACAAACAGGTGAAAATAGATATAGAGAAGGTAACACTCTGTGAGAATAAAAATCCTAAACAGCTTGTAAGCTCTATGTTCGATACCTCTGTACTAGAATAATGTCTAATAAAATTACCTATAAAAATTTCGTAGCTTTTAAAATGGTAAGATTTTTAGGACGGGCTGCGTTAATAGCATTATATGTAGCTGTCTCTAGTGTAAAACGGAAGATCTCTTATCTGAGGGCAGCACTAGCCAGCGGTATTCGTATAAGATACGTGTGAAGCGCGCCTATTTCAAGAAGCGTACATGTGTTTTATTAAGGACTAAATTTATTTAAATCTTTACTAAGAATATCATCATTTAATAGCCAAACCTTATTTAATTGTAAAAAAAATAATCATTCATAAATTATCAAGTATTACGTTATAACCCGTTATAGTTTTATCTAGGTTATTCAAAATGATATTTTTAAATGGTATGAACTTACAAAAGAATGAAATGTATTTTATTCCGTCTCATTTCCACGTGCTATCACTTGTTTAAATAATATCATGTTTGTGGATGGTTTGTAGACGTCTAGTCTTCATGGAGTTGTCCTATGGTGGGTCGAGAATCAGCATCTTTCACTTTTTGCTAATAAAAACATTTGGATGCAACGGCACTGGTCCTTTGTATTGTAACTTTTTTACCATGTCTTCGTTTCTTGATGCACTCGCGTTCTCATTTTCTTGATGTTCGACACAACCTATTCCATATTTGAACGGTTAAAATCAAAATTATCACTTCTGCTGATAACAGCTTTTACTCACTACATAGCAATTTTGAACGCTACATCTTATATGGCTATTAATATTATTTTTGAAATATAAAAAACTTCATAAAAGGAAGAATTTTCGGATTAGCATGCTCTCGAATATTCAACAATACAATACTAATCGTGTTGTGTAACTGCGCGCTCTTTTATTTTACATTTCTGCTATTAATTTCAAAGCGGAAAAACAAGTGAAAGATTTATTTGTTTGAATTTCCGATATTTTGATATGGAGTTTTCGTATACCAAGAATATTAATAAATTAAATGAATAGAATTCATTATGTTTCGATGTATTGTAAACAGAAGAGTTTTTCATTCGTAAAAAAATAGACCAATGGGAAGTTTATTACGTCATGAATAAGTCACCGTTGTTGCTTCGACATGAAACATTATTAACTTGAATGACTAGTATTTGGTTCGTAGATAGAATAGTACTATAAAATTCAGTAATAAGCAAATTGAATAAGAACAACGCATAAAAATATACTCATATTAATATTACAATTTTTTTTCTACTTTAACAAAGAAAAATTACTGTAAATGTATTTCTTAAGAACGTTTAAAGAATTACGGATATTATTTTTTCATTATAACATAATTGTGATATTTTAGAGTTAAATAACGAACCAAAAAACCAATTACTATAACTTCAATTACAAAATTGGGTTAAATAAAGAACTCCTTCAAACTTTGGTATTTACAAAGCACTGTTGCTTTACCTTACCATATGATCAACCTTTCATTGATAAATTTTATTTTATGTTTTCACTTATAATAAATTCAAATGTGAAATTTATAACTTAAATTTTACTCATTTCCTTTTTTCAAGATACTTAGAGCAGAACGAAGCTAAATTTTTAAATATTGAATTTAAATATATAGTATATACTTATGTACATTTCGTTCTTTTTTCAAAATTTCATCTGATTTCACTATACTGAGACTGTTTTTAATATAAACCAGGGGTGTCGAACTGCCTCCTCTGAAGCTAAATCAGATCAGTAGTGTCGAACTATATTGTCTAGTGTACTATCTCTCCTTACATGTATACTAGTAACTCTTGATTAACGTTCCCTCACTACCTCTGTCCAAGGAGTTACCCGTGACTGTGTATGTAGCAGCCCTATGTGTTTCAATACAAGTGAGTATAGAGAGGGTAAGTCTTCATAAGGGAAAGTCACTATGAAACTCGCAAGCTCTTCCAGTTCAACACCCTTGAGTTAGATTGTTGGTACCACTGATATAAATTACCAGTAAATATAATTGAATATAATTTCATGTTATTAACTATAAATGATTTGTGAAGTTTCCGAAGGATGCAATTTTCTTATACTTTGCGCGTAAAAAAAATGAAAATTAATAGTAAATTGATAAGAGTAAAAGAATTCAAATAAGTTCGAGAAATGTGTTATTAAATTATATGTATAAATTATTTGAAGGGAATCGTATTGTGAATTGTGTTTACGGATGTCATGATGCTTAAACGTTCTTCCGGAAAATCATTAATAAATATACACATGATATTGATGTATTATAAATATTTTGTAAAAGTCAACAATGAACTGTACAGACTATAGATTTGTACTAACGCATTTACTCTGCCAAATTTGGAGGTTATAATATGTATACAATAGATATGTATAATGTAATTTTTTATCGATGAATATAAATCAACAACGTTGGAGGTATATATAAAAAACTTATGTACCTTAAACATATGGAAGAAACCATAATTTTTTACATAAAAGAACAACTTTGTAAGAAATGCAAATGCAAATACCTTTAGATTCAATCCAAAATGAAAGAACCAATTCATCTTGGTCAAGGTAATGAAAATATATATAAAATAGAATAGTTTTATGAAGATATGTACATAGTAGATTACAATAAATGAGATATTCCTGAAACATGTTTTAGGAAGGAAAAACGTAAATGGTTTTTATCTTTACTATGTGGTACTTGTCTTATATATGCTACAAGAACATCTGTTCCTTTGTTGATACCAATAATAAGCAAAAAGAAACAATGGTCCAAACCAGACTCTGGAGTAATATTATCTAGTTTCTTTTGGGGTTATACATTAACGCAAGTTGCTAGCGGTTACATTAGTGATAAAATAGGAGGACAAAAGGTATTATTGATCTCTGCTGTTGGATGGTCCACAACTACATATTTTATGCCAGAAATTATTGAACTTTTTTCAAATAGTGATACATCTGTATTATTAGTAGCTACAGTAAGAACGATAAATGGAGCATTCCAAGGTAGTTTTGTGCTATAAATAATTTAGATATCTAATAGTATAAACAAAATTTTTATATATATAAAACTTGTATATTACAGGAATGCACTTTCCTAGTATGATTAGTTTAATAAGTCAACGATTACATGAAGCAGAAAGAGCCTCATTCTTTAGTTTATTAACATCAGGATCTGCCCTTGGTACATTGCTCACAGGATCTCTGGGTTCTTACCTATTGGAAAATTATAACTGGACAACAGTCTTTCAAACTTTAGGTAAATGAATATATGAAATGCTTTATTTATAATGGCATGCAGAAGTTTAATGAATAATTATTTTGTTTTATCACAGAGAAAAAGAGAATTCTTTATAATAAGAAGATATTTTTCTCCACTTCTCTTCTAAATTAAAGCTAAGAAAATAAGTATTCAAAAACTTTTGCACAACTCTTTTGCACTAATAACATATCGAAAATATAGAACATGAGGCTACCTAATAGGCCAAATAATTTTCAAAGAAACATTTTTTCATTATGAATGCATTGAATTTTTTTATCTTTTTAATGAAAAAAATTGATTCTATAAATACTTATTTCAAAGAGATAAATGTTAACTTACATTTATAAAGATATAGTTTTATTATACAGATAATTTTTAAATATAAAACAACTTCAGTGTTTCATGACACATTTTTCAAAAATTAAATA